CCGTGGAAGCCAAGGGTTTGAGTCTCCCCTGCAATGCCACCTCGAAACGTGTTCATCCCTAGGAGGTGAGGATGAAAGAGTCTCCCGCTGCCTGCCAGAGGAGCTGTGCTTTCAGAGAGCTGCTTGTGTTTACAGGGGTCTTTGGTTTACCCCAGATCTCTCGCGCCTTCTCTTCACGGAAGGAAGGCACTGGTTGTAGATACGGAAGAGGCACTGAAAATGTGGGCAGGGACCTGCCATCTCAAGTCATCGTTTCCCCCTCCACCTCTCAGATGTCGTTATTTAAGCAACGGTAATCCCTCCAAACCCTGGAAACATTGACTACCCGAGGTACTGCGGTTCACTGGTCCTGTGAACCCGTATCTTTTAGTGACGGTACTCGCTTTTGCACAGTAAATGCTGTAGTATACGAGACTGTAAATATTAGTGTTTAGTTTTGGTGCATGTCTGAATACCAATGGATTTATAGGAAAACAAGAAAAGCGCAAAACAGTGTGTATACAATTCACAACCGGTGACAATGTTGCTCCAAGTGCTGGAAGAAAGGAAGCTCGGGGCAGCCCCGTGGGTGCTGGCTGCGGAGCGGGTGCAGGAGCCGGGCAAAGGAGCCAGCGGGTCCCGCTTTTGGGCTTGGAAATGGGAACCGGGAAGGAGCCCTGTGCCCGGCCGAGCCGCCTCGTCCACTCCATCCCACTCCTGTCTCCTCTCACTGTTGCCAAATGGTTTTTTCGGGAGGGTCCCTGTCTGGCTGACCCTTGGTGCTGTGCTTTGTGGTCCGTGCTTTGGCAGGAGCCCTGGCAGGTCCCGGTCCCGCAGGGCAGGGGCAGCCTGGCATGGAGGAGCGAGGCGGGGGTCTCATTTCCCACACACGCAGCGTTAACCCCAATCTGTTAGGTGTGCCTTATTCAGCCCCTCTGTCCCCTCTCCGTGTCCCCCCCAGGGCATCCTCGCCAGTGCAGCCCCAGCCAGGCCATTTCACGTCCCTCTCTGTCCTCATCCGACGGTTGGATCCGCAGCATGGATCGTGGGTTTGAGCGTACGCTGTAGGTTTTAGCAGCCTTGCGAGGCCTTTTTCGGCACCGTGTTGTGCGGTCACAGGTTTTTACAGAGTTCTGTCTAACAAAATCCTGCGGTTTTAGGGCAGCGGCTCGCAAGGAATACAGAGGGGGTGTTTCGCAGAGCATCCTTAACTTATTTCTCAATAGCAGCTCCGTGTTTGCTAAAGCCTCTGTTTATTCTGGGTGAATCAGAGTTGCAAGCACTTCCTTCTACAAGCAGATTGCAAAGCCTTAGCCAGCTCTCTGCAGACGGCAGCGCTGCCTAACAGGCGGCAGGAGGGAGTGACGGCGGCATTGCCCCGTTCATAGGATTGTACCCAGCTCGATTACTTTCCTGAAGGTTTTAGGCACAGGACTCGTGCAGCGGCCAAATGCTGAAGTGCAGAGAGACCCTCCTGCCCGTGAGAGCATCTTCTGGGGGAGGTGAGCGTGGGGTCCGACACCGGTTCGTGCTGTGCGACCCCAGAGCAGGAGGAGCGTGGATCTTCCTGCGCTGGAACGCGACGTCCAAGCCAGAACACTTCAAATCCAGTTTATTTTTGTGGCACTAAGGGCATTGGAGCCACGTGTCATGTCCAGCCGAGTCTTTGCAATCCCCAAAGGCTTCCCAGCCTTCCATACAGGAAGTAATGTTTGTGTTTTCCTTTGTAAATAAGATTTTAAAAAAATCCCCCGACATGGCAAGACTGTGAAAAGGCAAATATACCCCGCGTCTGGCGCAGGCTTCCCCCCCAGCCGGCTCCGAGCACCTCCGTCGGACGGGGTGCTGTGGCATCGGCTGTTCCTAGGAGTGTCATGTGTGGTGGTAGCACTGAAACTGCAGCCCATCGCTCCACTTTCCCCGTGCGGGGGCCCTGGGGGTGCAGTGTTCGTGGCTGGGGCTCCGTGCCACGGCAGGGACGGGAGGGTGCACCTTGTCTTCAGCCCTGCCGGGATGCGCACCCCCAATCTCGCTGGCGAGCGGGAGCTGTTTCCAGGTTCTTCCCTGTGCTGGAAACCACGAGCCCTCTTAGTGCCA